ATCAACCTACTAAGTGACATATCAGCATGGATGTCACTCCACTTCCTCAAACTCAATCTTTCCAAAACGGAACTCATACTATTCCCTCCAGCCCGTGTCCCCTCACCTGACTTCTCCATCAAGATCAATAATACAACCATTAGTCCCTCACCTCATGCCAGGGTACTAGGTGTAATCCTAGACTCCCATCTGTCCTTTCAGCCCCAAATCCAATCACTGTCCAAATCTTGTAGACTTCACCTCCGCAGCATCTCCAGATATGCCCGTTCTTAACCTCTGAAACTACTAAGCAACTTATTCACTCCCTTGTTATCTCTCGCCTTGACTATTGTAATTCCCTCCTCATTGGCCTACCTAATTGCAGGCTATCCCCTCTTCAGTCTATCATGAATGCTGCTGCCAGACTCGTCCACCTTACTAACCGTTCTCTATCTGCCATCCCTCTCTGCCAATCCCTCCACTGGCCTCTCGTTGCCCAACGAATTAAATTCAAAACATTAACAATAACATATAAAACCATTTATAACTCCGCCCCAAACTACATCACCAATCTTGTCTCCAAATATTACCCAAACTGTTCTCTCTGCTCCTCCCATGACCTCCTGCTCTCTAGCTCCCTTGTCTCCTCCTCCCATGCTTGTCTCCAGTACTTCTCCAGAGTCTCCCCCATCCTCTGGAACTCTCTACCCCAATCTATCCGACTATCGCCTACTTTGCCCACTTTTAGGCGATCTCTGAAAACCTCTCTTCAGGGAAGCCTATCCCGCCTTCAGCTAATAACAATATCTTCTATTCTTCAGTTCATCCCCCACAGCTATTACCTTTTGTACCACCAGCCCCTCCCTCTTAGATTGTTAGCTCCAAGGAGCAGGGCCCTCCAAACCCTCTTGTATTGAACTGTATTGTTGCTGTATTGTCTCCCTTTATATTGAATGCTGAGCAAACTGTTGGCGCCATATAAATCCTGTATGATAATAAAAACAGTTCATGCAGTATAAAAATATAGCCTACTTCTACAATGTTATCTTAAATGTGTATCCATACATTTTAGATATTTAAACATGCTTGTTTCATTGTTCGTTTGTAAGCTGTGGTACACTTACATGTTCTCCTGATTTGACGAATCAATACAGATCTGCATATTTAGGAGTTTCCAAGTTGAAACCGCATTGGCACGGCCTGCCCAGTATGGTAGTCAGAATATGTGCTGGTAATGATTACATGGTAGGAACTAGAGATGAACAAACGTCTTAAAATCCAATCTGCAGAGAATTGGCCCCCTAAATTCAGTTCTTGGCTTGAACACTTGCCATGATTTAAGACATTTCTACCCTATGGCCTTTCATAAGATTCCTTCTTTGTTGGTAGAAGTCGGAGATAAAATGCTCCCTGGTGAGCTGTTTATTTCCTAGATACATATTGCATCTTTTTTTTTTAAACTGAACATATGTCTAGAATGGTGTTCAGAAGAAAATAATTTTAAGGGCATGGGTAAAACTGAGAAATAACTTCGCCACAATTGTCTGTCTTGGTAACCCCTACACATCCTATCACGGGGCTTGTGCCTGCCAACCTATATTCACAATCAGGACTTGTTTACACCTGCTTTGCTCTTTAAAGTGGAGATCCTTGTTCGGATTGATCTCCAGAGAGCAATAGACATACGGTCTGTTTTTAACCTCTAAATACTGGCCAGCAATGCGCATTGTATGTGATAGCATTCACTTGAATGGGTCGCCTTTAGTGTGCAGTACTGCCCGCTGAGCATTACTGGGTATAATTTCTACCACGGCATGTCTACACTTCTTGCAGCTGCCTCAGCAGTAATAGGGGGAGATGTTGTGGGGTGGTAAAATCATGGCTCAGCCTCTGGGTTTCACCACTCCTCAGTCACAAGTGTAAACAAACCTTAAAGCTTATTATGGCTAACAGCTGCTAGTGACTATGGTGTAATGACATTGCGTTCATCACACAGCTGTGTTTGCGGCTGGTATCGTAGCCGCCGGTGGTTATAGTTAAGACCACAACAAAATGGCGCTGGACTGTGATGCAGACATCGTAGTGCTGTTTGTTCTGCGCATGCGCGAGGGCGCCGGGAAAATGGCGGACGCGCTTATACGATTGCCATACACTACTTATACAGGGCTTGGAGCAGATGTCTGGTTAGCTGACACACTCCCTATGAATACGTGCACATGGCACGAAACGCGTCAGAGTAAGAGCAGCATATCCCAGACATTACGCCACCGCATGGAGCGGGCGGCCATCTTTGTACACCTTTATGGTCAGTTTTGTATATACAGTCCTTGTTTTTGTTTTGGATCATTAAATTTTTATTTAAAACTATATCACACCATCCTGGCTTTCTTTCTTGGGACCCTGCTGAGTCCATTACTTGCAGAGCCACCTAGGGGACAGCTGAGGGGTGTTCTAGTGTGGAAACACACGATCCATAAGGAGAAACCTGGACGGACTGATGTACCCAGATGATGACCCTATCCGTTTATGAGATAACTTCGCTTGGATATCGGGATATCATCTATATGCATATTTGAATTATGCATCTGGTGAGTGCATGATTCAATTATTCTGATCACCGGAAGACGCACGTTTTTTGAGTCACCATTTATCACTTAAGGACTTTATTGCTTTTCATGCACAGTTCTTGGCACATTGTTATCACTTATTTTATGTGTATGTTCTTTAGTTATACTGCATTTTAGCGCTGCGCCCTTTCTTATATAAACCTTAAAGCTTAGTTCACAATGGCTTTAGCTTGTATTAAAGCAGTTCAAATGGTATTATTTAAAAAAAAAATATATCGGAAAACTTCAAGCTGTTTTCTTGACGTCTTCAAAGTACCCATCAACTCACTCCAAATGGAAGTAGAGCCTATCCCTTTAGACAAGCTGCTAGCAGGCTTTTAACAGGCATCAGTAGTGCTGACGTCTGCCGGAAATTGTTTAAAGTGACAGCACTTCATTAACATCTGCATTGCCAAACTGGAGCTGAATGGTTGCTTAAAATCCCAACTCCAGGAAAGGGGTAGTTGCTTGTTTATTTTGGGGGAAAGTAAAAGCATCTTAAGCCATCATTTAGATTTGCGATTGAGGAGCAGTAAAACCCTGTGACTAACCCCTCAACCACTTCCCATGTTTCTGTTGTGCAGAGGTACAAATGCCACAACCAAGAAGCCTTGCTTCGTGAGCATGGCACAAATTATACCCCTGTGAATGGGGCAGCGCTGCAACCATGCGTGATTGTCTGGTAATTAGGGGTTTAAAACAGGTGGTGAGGAGGCATTGAATCAATTTTACTGTTTGAAGGGTGATCTGAACGTGGATCACACTTCAGCAGCGCCGTAAGTGTAAACAAGTCCTAATTTGATCCTCCACTTCCCTCATACTTTGGCAGTGAACTTTCACTGGGCATCATCACATCCAATGCAGGGCTGTGAACCCTGCATTAGTCTTAATGACATTAAAGAAGCATAGGGGCCAAGACACTGTAGGAACCAGTCTAGCAGCACAGAGGATTGGGTAGGTTAATCTGTCTTCAAAGATGCCAACAACAATTCATTCTTCCAGTGAAGGTGAAGCTCAGCTGCAAGGGATCATGGATGTTCAATTTATATCACCTGACGCCTGGGACATGTAGTACCGGGCAGGTAGGTTTTTTTTTTTTTTAACCTTTTTGCCCGCGGCAGGGCTCACTTGTCAGGTGATAGCATTCTTCCACACAGCCCACTTCAGTGCCAGCCTCTGCCCCCCCGCTGCCTATGTCTCCTGGGCTCAGCTTGCCCATCTGTGGGCCCGGGATCGGTTCACTGGGTGCTGGCAGGTAGAGGGGAGGGAGGAGAGAAGACACATCCACTCCCCTTCTTGTCTTGACTTGGAAGTGACGTTGTGACAGCGCTTCTGGGTCCCCGATGACCGATTTCCCAGCCTTCGAGGCAGGGAAAGAATGTATTGCAGTGCGATGTGCACTGCATTACATCCAGTGGAGTTCAGGGGAAACATCCAAGGTCTTTTAGACCCTGGATGTCTCAAAGAGAACCTGTCGTCAAAAAAGCAAAAAAAATTAAGTAGAAAAATACCCCCCCTCACCCCCCCCCCCCCCAAAAAAAAAAATGGTGGCGATCAGTGACTTTTATAGTGGGACTGCGGTAGGCATTCTGACACTGGGGGGGGGGGAACTGACTAACTGCCACTGACATCCCAATGACACTAATACAGTAATCGGTGCTAATGACACTGGGCAGGCAGGGGTTAACATCTGGGGCGATCAAACGGTTAACTGTGTTTTGCTGTGTTTTTACTAGGGAATCATGCTATTTTGTATCTACTGTGCAGAAAGATACAAAACAGCATGTCCATGCTGACAGGAGAGAGACCTGTGTTTACACACAGGTTTCTCCCGTCAGCTTTCTCTGAGGATTGCTGAGTTCTGTCCAGGAATCGCTGTCTGGGACCCGGTGATTGACATCTCTAACCGCCAATAGCGGCGTGGGTAGGGGAGCACACGGTCACACCCCCTACCCGGAAATATAAATCATGTGTATATATACATGATTTTGCGCAACCCTGCCACCTTGTGGCAGTACTTCTGCTATACAGCGGAGGGCAAGCGGTTAAAGACTTGTTTCCAGCTTCATTGACTAATAAAAAGTGAGGGCATTTGACAGGTGGCTGGGAGGCAGTTGCCCTTATTAACCCTGTAAACCTCACACCAGTGCGTTGCAACGACGTGCATTGCACTTGCACACAGCAGGTTATAAGGTTTCTGGAGATCTAGATTAAAGTGTTACTAAACCCACAAAGGTAAAATCATTTTGCATATGCAGTAAAGCATGCTTGTTATACTCACTGTGGAACCTAAGGGGTTAATCCTCTGCATTGTGTAAAAAGGCCATTTGATCCTGACTTCTCTGCTCCTCCTCTCATTCAAATGTCCACATCTTATCTCCTGATAAGATGGACTGAACTGTAGCCATTCTGCACATGCTCAGTTTACTGTGTATTGCTAGAGAGGTTTTTTTTTTTTCTTTTTCTTGGGAGAGTGCATGTGGGCAGCACAGTGGCTAAATGGTTAGCACTTCTGCCTGGCAGTACTAGGGTTGTTGGTTCGAATCCCAGCCACAGCACCACCATTGCATGTTCTCCCTGTGCCTGCGTGGGTTTTCCTCCGGGTACTCCAGTTTCCTCCCACACTCCAAAGACATGCTGGTAGGTGAATTGGATCCTGTCTAAATTGTCCCTAGTATGTATGAATGTAAGCTACGGACCTTAGATTGTACGCCCCTTGAGGGTTAGGGACTGATGTAAATGTATAATATGTATGTAAAGCGCTGTGTAAATTGACAGCGCTATATAAGTACCTGAAATAAATAAAATAAATGTGATCAGCACTGTCCAGACAGAGGTCAGGGGTTTTTCATCCTCCTAGAGCAGAAAGAGAACTCCTCCTACAAGCTTTAACCAGTACTCTGCTGGACACTGAGAGAAGTCACAAGACTGCTCTAAATGCTGATGAGAAAAGATATTTAGCAGTTTATATTTACTAAAATAATTGCACTTTCATCTTCTGTGTACTGTGGGAGACCAGATATAGTGAATGCAGGGTCCTGGGTTTAATAACCCTTTAATGGTGAGGGGTTGTAAAATCACAGCTCAAATGCCTGTTTTTACCACCTTTTGACCGTAAGTGTAAATGAGGCCTAAGATCTAGATTCTACACGTGCGTTGCTCTCTGAAGAGTGATCTGCATTTTGATTACTTTTCAGAGCATTTGACAGTTGATGAGGATGTGTTGCATCACCACCTCACTACCTGTGTTAACACCTTAAACCCCACACTAGCATGCTGAGTGATGTGGGAACTACATTTTGTTGAATGGGTCCTGTTCAGTGGGGATAATCCTTCACACTGCTCTCATGCATGCTGAAGGCTGTGTAAACTAGGCCTAAGAAAACCTGTTTACGTTGCTTCACTTTGCGCTGTGCCAAAATGATCTGACATGCACTGTTCAGCTGGCTTTACCACTTCCCAAATACCTCCATTCATGTCACTGCAAACATGCCACAAATGCCCCTGGGGCGTTTACAACGCGTTTTGAGATGTGTTTTGAAAGAGTTACCAGCTGAGATGATGCTACAAGAATCCATACAATAGAAAGCCAAACTGGAGGCCTCTGGAAAGTGTTTAACATGACGATAAAAAAAAAGGCATTCAAATTAGCTATAACGCATCTTGACATCATAGGTGACATCAAATTTCACAGCACGTCTGTGAGCCCTGAGAGTGCCACCTAAAGTTATAGGTGACATCTGCTCCTGAGAGTGCTAATTATCTGGCATTTCTGGTTTAGTGCTTTGATGCACTGTTCTGGAACATGTATACTGAGTAGGATTTTTGATTTCGTTTGTGGATTTCCAAATTTGATGGATTCTTTTTTTTTTTTTTTTTTGGCATCAAATTGTTAAAGCAAGAAAAGAACGTGAAGGTCTGAGCGTGTGCCCTAAATGCAAAGTTAGTGGTGTCGCCTTTTTGAATTTGTCCTGACTGGTTCACTTTAATGAAGCATCTTTGTGGTATGAAAAGACAGTAGACTAGCACCTGCCTGGAAATTAGCCACATGTAATGAAGGGCTTAGCATAAGAGCATTTAAAAAATGTTTGGTTCAGCTTCAACATACATAATGAACCTCCTGCTTAGTGTGCAGCACAGATATTAATCTTCACTAGTCTTCCTAAAGCAGGTTTGTGGAAAGAGCTGTGCCGTATAAAGGTACAGTAGATGGCTGCTAATATGCTTTTCTTTGAACAGTTCTGCAAATCTCTGCATGCACTGAAGTGATAATCTGTAGAGAGAAAAACAAAACTATTCTGGTGTCAACCTGACCCAGTCATCTGCCCTGATGTAGCAATGCTCTCCTCTGTTTTACGAGATGTAATAAAAGCATTATTTTTAGAGTTTTAAAAGCTATAGAAATACAACTTCTCTGAAAATATGATCTTGTTGTTTATGTAGGGCAGTGGACACCAAACTGTGGCCCATGGGCCGAATGTGGCCCTTTGCTTGCCTTTTATCTGGCCCTTAGGACATCAATCCTCCCACTGCCGCCACAGGTGGAGCGCTATTCCTCCCACTGCCGCCACAGGTGGGGCGCTATTCCCCACTGCCGCCACAGGTGGGGCGCTATTCCTCCCACTGCCGCCACAGGTGGGGCGCTATTCCTCCCACTGCCGCCACAGGTGGGGCGCTATTCCTCCCACTGCCGCCACAGGTGGGGCGCTATTCCTCCCACTGCCGCCACAGGTGGGGCGCTATTCCTCCCACTGCCGCCACAGGTGGGGCGCTATTCCTCCCACTGCCGCCACAGGTGGGGCGCTATTCCTCCCACTGCCGCCACAGGTGGGGCGCTATTCCTCCCACTGCCGCCACAGGTGGGGCGCTATTCCTCCCACTGCCGCCACAGGTGGGGCGCTATTCCTCCCACTGCCGCCACTGATGGAGACCTTTCCTTTTCCTACTGACCTTAAACTATGTAATTTTTTTTTTTTTTTACCCCAAGGCCATCAAGTCTGAGCCATTTTTTCTACTCCTGCTGACCACAATCCGGCCCTCCTAAAGTCTGAAGGACAGCAATCTAGCCCTTTGCTTAGAAAGTTTGGAGACCCTGGATATAGGGAAATGTACAAAAACTGGTGCATCCAGAATCTGGTGCATAGTAACCAGTGGGCTTCTAACTTCAGCTTGTTCAATTAGACTTTTGACAATAAAACCTGTAAGCTGATTGGTTACTATGCACAGCTGCACCAGAATTTTGTGTGTACCAGTTTTAATAAATGTTTCCCTTAGAGTACAATAATTGTAAAGAGGAAGCACTATCTTTTTTGCTTTTACAAGGGAGACAAATGCAGGGTTGTAAAACCACATGGCTTTATTTCAATTGTGTAATTACACCGAACCCTTTCTTGCAAAGAGGACATTAAATCTTGGGTGCCCAGACCAAATTTAGCAGCATGGGCTAACTTGACTGTATGATGGTGTTTGCTTTTAATAACATCCTGCTTGTGGTGTGTGTCTTTTTTTTTTTTTTTCTTTTTTTTTTTTTAGGCTGACAAATGGACAAAAATATTGTAAAACCTAACAGGTTGATAAAACCATATTATGCAGGCTAGTGCAGCCCCCGTGCTGTCGTCTTAGCGAGCATGCCACCTAGTAGTTTGATGAGGTTGTAAGGAGCTAGGGGCCATTCTTACCAGGGAGGTCTGTTGCAATGAATTACCATGCGTCTTATTGCGCTACCTCACTTATGTGTTTGGTGTTTAGGTGGCCTATTGATTTTAAATGGGTTACCTTGCATACCACAAAGGATATGCAGCATTTTTGCTCCAGATTGTTACTGTGCATTGCAGTGCACAATGTTGATCCTTGCAATGAGCACTTCTTATCTCACATATACAATTTCCCGAAGCCAAAAAATGTAATCGGTCCTTAAGGCCGGCCATACAATTTTCCTTTAGATTTACCAAAGCCATATAATATGAGGTCAAACCTAAACACTTTCAGTTTGTATGCAGTTGGTCAGGCCCTTGCAGGTGAAGCTATAGGAAATTGAACAGGACGTTTTGTATAATGTACGGTGACTTCAAGGTTTGTTAGTATTTTCACCTTGTGAATCTGACGGGAACACATTTCCTTTCTAGAGTGACAACGCTCGCAGTTCTGTGTCTGTGGAGAAGCGTGGTCATCACCCTAGGCTGCCCTCTTCGTCTCTATTACATGAGGAGTTTGTAGTTCAGAGCATAGATGGTTGAGCTGGTAACATTAATTGCAATATCCGTTCTGTGCACAGGAATTTACAAGGACTCAACATAGGTCATTTTCTGTACCTTAAGAAAATGATGGCTTCATTTAGTGTTTTTTGTTTTTTTTGTTTTTTTTCCCCAAGCTAAGAACTTGATAAATGACAATGGGGTCAATTCACTATAAATACCACATGATTTTTTTTTTTGTAATAAACTAATGTATCTATCTCAAAAGTAGTCAATTCACTATAAAAAAAAGTATTATCTACAGTGTGTTAAATATTTGTGCTGCAATATTTAGCACTTACATTTGGCGTTATTTTCACTTTTTTAAAAAAAAATTTTTTTATATGCAGGCGAAGGCTCGGTTCACACTGCTGCAACTTTGGATCTGACTTGTGAGACCCTAAGTTGCACAATATGTGAAATTACATGTTTGTCAATCACAGCTGTCTTAATTAGCACTAAAGTCACTCCAACTTTAGAAAAGGTTCCTGTACTCTTCAAGGCGACTTCTGTCCGACTTGTGCCTATTGACTTTAATGGAAGTCGCCTCCAAGTCGAATCCTTCTCTGTGTGTGATTTGAATCCGATATTACAGGAAGATTACCCAGACATTCCCTGAAAGTAGCTTCAAAGTTGCATCAAGTCTCCTCAAAGTAGTACTCAGGAAGTCACCTTGCAACGTCGCACAGGTCCTGTGTGCGCCAGTTTTAGTAAATGTTCCCTATAGGCTTTAATTGGTAGTGAGAAGAAATGTCCGGCTCCAATGCACTCTAAAAGGTTGACCTAAATCCTGATACAAGCCTTAATTGGCTGTGGGAAGGGCAGGCAGGTACAGACTACAATGGCAGAGTGCAATGCAGAACCAGGGAGTTTACTGTCCATCAACAGAAACCACTTTAAACTGCTGAGCGTTGTGCATCTCATGCCTTCTGCTGAAAAACAGGTCACTCTTCTCTCTTCCATGTATAACATTTACATTAGTACTTTACACAGCTCACTTCAAAATTGTGACTAACAGATGAACTTGATGCTCTGTACACTAACCCGTCATGAGTAGTTCTTAATCATTTTGGAAATGTCTCGGTACAAGAAAATGTTTTCTTGTAGCATGATGCAGTAATTGCAGCTGCCCTGTTTTCAGGTTTGTGTCATGCTAGGATCCAGGGTTTAAAAATGCCACGCTTTCCTAAATCGGGGCATTTTGGGAACACCAGCAATTTTTTTTTTTTTTTTTTTTGTTTTTTTTTTTTTTTAGCCAAATGCACCTACTGCTTATTAGTGTTTTCAATTTTCAGTTTCGTTTACCTTGACACATTTCAGGGATGTGAAAATTTTTTTTAAAAACTACTTTTGGGTCCTAATCTACTTGTCATGATTAAAAAAAAAAAAACATATTAAACCACTTTACCCCCGTCCTAAACAGGCCATTTTTGTGCGATGCTGCACTACGTTGACAATTGCGCGGTCATGCAACACTGTACATAAATGAAATTTATATCCCTTTTTTTCCCACAAATAGAGCATTCTTTCGGTGGTATTTGATCACTTCTGTGGATTTTTTGTGTGGCTATAAACAAAAAAAAAAAGTGACAATATTGGAAAAAAACGTTTTTGACTTTTGGCTATAAAACATATCCAGTAAAAAAAAAAAAAATTAAAACAAATTTCTTAAGTTTAGGCCAAAATGTATTCTGCTACATGTCTTTGTAAAAAAAAAAAAACCCAATAGATATATATTGGTTTACGTAAACGTCGTCATAGCATCTACTAATGGCGGGTGTGTATATATACTGGAATTTAAATTTTTTTT